ACACACACACACACACACACACACACACACACACACACACACACACACACACACACACACACACACATATTCAGTGAAATGAACCTCATTCTTCCTATGTTAATGGAGTTTCTTTCCTTTAGTGTATTATATTGTTTTTTTGTGAATATAAATGTTCTGCAAAGTTAAAAGACTAAAATCTGTGGTAAATGGAGCTCCTCTTCAGAAAACACTGAAGCTCCTCCCCCTCCAACCTTTGTCATCATAAAGTCATGTAATTTGCATAATGCCATTTCTCCAATTTTATTAATTATGCATTGCTTTGTTAACAGTGTGACTGACAAGCTGGTCAACCACTGACCTGTCTATGATTCTGAAAGCCACGCTCTTGATATCCGGCTGGTTGTAGAAACAGGAGAAGTCGATATTGACTTGGTCATGGCGAGTGATGATGTTGGTGCTGTTTTGTGCCATGATGGAGTTCTTGTAAATAATATTCCTGTTCTTGGCCTGCAGGGTCACAGGGAGTCAGACAGTGTGAGTGCATGAGGTTTCAGCTGCAGAGAAGATCGCACTAATCCACACATGGACCACAAACACTGCAAGTGTGAGTCACTTCGAGGAGAGACACTCACCGTGACCACCGTCCCACACGGGTTGCTAGCGTTGAATTTGAAGGTCACCATTTGGGTCACATTGTCCATCTGACCTCTGCAGCTCTGGTTGTTAAGGTGTAACTCAGAGTAGTCAATGCCTTTTTCCTTCAGGAGACAACCAACCAGGGAGACTGAAGCAGAGTTCTGATCGCAGACCGTTGGCTCGCCTGAACAGCAGCACAGACAAGAGCAATGACACAAAGACTGGAGCTCAATACACAAGCTCAGAAACTATTGACTTGGGCTGAGAATATAAGAAGACGCAAAGAGGTCAGTTTAAACTAAAACAATTTAGCTGTTGAACGAAATATGATACAGAATTTCTTTAAAAGATGGGGGATGGATGACCAGACAGAGTCGACAATTTACTGCTAATTTATGACAACGTCAGGATGAATGAAAAGCTCTTGATCTCTGAAGCAAACCCAGGCTCCTCATGTCTGAGGCCCTTCTGTAGTTGTCTATACATGATAATAGGTCAGATGCTGTGTTTTCTGTGTAATAAATTAATGTTTTTGCTTATACACTGTGATTCTAACATCAGTCTGTGGTGGTATATGTGAAACACTTCTCCCTGAGACAGCCTCCTTACCTAAAGCACCTGTTGATCTGTATTTAGAGGCGAAAATGGCCCGACAGAAGCAACTGGTTCCACCACTGATGTTCTCAGCACAGAACTCATGGGCACTGCAGAGGGTGTCCTGACAGAAGGCTTGGAGTGTGGCTGAGAGGAGCAGACAAATCAATTATTTAGAGTTAGTCAGATTAACAGTAATGACAGACGGTTATCAACCCCTGACTTGACTTGATAGACAGTGTGAGATGATCACACAGCTGAACCAAACGTAGTTGTTCCATCTCTGAAATATGAAAACACACTCTGACTTAGGGATTCTGGGCTCATCTTGTCCCATCATGTCTCAGAAAGAGAAATGAGTGGTCTTACAGCAGCCGGCCTTTGACCTCCAGCCCTCCAGTGTGTCATTGGTCTTGAATTTGCAGGCTCTGACATAAGCCTCCAAGAACCTGCACTGACTTAAACCATCTACCACCGGATATTTGCACAGGGTGTTGGTGCAGGCAGTGATGAAGGGCTCTGGGTCGATGTGGTTGTGGCAGGTGGTGAAGGGCGCCTCCCTTATGAGGTTACAGCTGTTGTTGGAGATAAAACGTTCAGTATCAATCAACGTGTATGAAAATTCAATGTCAGTGACTGTAGGAGTCTCAGGAGTAAACAGTGTTGCAGCCAAGGTGACCTCGTCTTCAGACGTAATAAAACAACAGAAAAAAACATAACATGCCTCCATACTGCTCGTGTGGTGTCATCCAAGTGTCCGTAAGCCCCAACATTCATAGTCAACTCGAAACAAGATAATTAACACCATGTTTTAAGCCTAAATGTCCACTACCGGAAGTAGCAATGCTAGTGCCCGTAGCGATGCAAAAGCGCAGCCCATGCAGCCCACGCAGCCCACGCAGCCCACGCAGCCCACGCAGCCCACGCAGCCCACGCAGCCCACGCTTTCCCTTGGGTGAGAATGTGTGCAGTTCTCTGGTGTGTCCGTGAGAACGTGAACGTGCCCCCGAGGAGGATATCAGAGGACAATTAGGCTTAAAACATGATGTAAATGATGCTGTTTCAAGTGGAATATTAATGTAGGGGCTTGCGGACACCACACAAGCAGTATAGAGTTAGTAGATAATGAGTGGATTGTCATTTTTTGGTGAATTAAATTCAATTTGTTTTATTTGTATCGCGTCAAAGGAATATTCAATATCTCGTTCTATATTCTAAATGATCTCTATCTTTACATAGAAGGTCGACACCTGAACAGTAGCATTAAAGACAAATACTAAAGTAAAGTACAAGTAGACAGATTTATATTTGAGTAAATGTACTTCGTCACTTTTTACATCAAAGGTGGCAAGTAATTTTCCTCACAGACAAACATGAGACGTAACGCCAGAGCTTTAAGAACTGAGTATGTGTTCAGGTGTGTATCTGCTCACCGTTCAGTCATTCTCGTGCAGTTGATGGTTCTGTCAGCAGGTTCAGAGTAATTCATCTTACAGCTGGAGAAGGGAGGCAAACAGAGTGTCAGGAGTTCCCTTGGGCCTGACTCGTTCACATAAACACACTCATACACTACCCAGTGGTTTGTATATGTACAGCTGTCAGTGGGAAATTCAGGTAGTGACCAGGTCTCACCTTCTGGAGCTGAACTCAGTCCTCACTTCACTCAAAGGCCTGCTGGAGTTACCACATAAACCCGTCATGTTGGCTGTATCTAATACCGGAAAATTTGAAGAGATAAATAGTCTGACGAATAAAAGTCAGACTGGATGTACATGTCTCAAAATGATCACAGCTGAAGATGCAAACAGAGCTGGGTTCCACCATCAAACCACTGAAGGTAAAAGGTTACATAAAATGATGAAATTAATCCTTCAATTTTACTAACTTAAGAATAAAAACAAATCAAATGTGGTAAATGTCAGCAGGCTCACTAATAGTGTCTGATTTCTCTTCACTGCTGTATAAAAATATAAAGCCTGGCAGGTGTCATGGAGTTTAGGTCTGTATTTGTCTCTCTCTACCTGGCAAGTGGATCTGTACAGTGTAGCCATCAAAGAAGACAGAGGTGGAGTAGTTGGAGAGGGTGAACTTGGCCGTGACTCCAGTTTGGTCCTTGTAGACCTCCACACCGTGACGAGACAGAGGCGAGCTGCTGAGGCTCAGTGTTGTGTTGTTCAGCTGCGTCACAGCACAGGGATAAAGTGAAGGACACCACTGGTTGAATGATGACTAACGCAACTGCACAGGACTGTTTACTCAACACTTTAATCCACTCCACTGCTTCTCTACTCAGTTTTGGACACTTCCTCTGTCTCATCCAACACATTTCAGGGGGGACATCTTCAACTTTTGACTCCACTGATGGCAGGACACTGGAATTTCTAGATGCGTCAGCTGTCGGCCAAACAGCCACTCAATGAAGCCAATTATTTTATTGATACATTTCCTCTAACAATTTACCAGAACTGAATGAGGTAATATGGCTTAATTTGAGACAGGGTTATATAATGGAAAGGACATTATCTCTATTTCTGGGTGTTTGATCGTTTGATCGTCCATTTTTTCATATTAACACACACACAGAGTGATTAGAGAAGACATAGTGAACTCATTGAACTGAAGACAGCTATGCTTGTTAGTTTTTGTTCAGTGAAAAGTAAAAACCAGCTGTTTAACAAACACAAAAACTAAAGTTTCAACTGTTGATCCAAAGTCTGCCTCCACTGCATGGTGCTACAAGCTAACTGTTATTAAGAAGCTAAACAATAATGGACCGTAATCTAAGTGATTATGTTAGTTAGAAGGAAAGATGACAAAGAGAGGAGCAGAGAAAAGAGGACAGAGGGTGAATGACAACACAGAGAGGAGGACAGGGAGGAGGATTAACAGAAGAGAATGTCAGAAAGTGGAGGACAGATGACAGAGAGAGAGGGACAGAGGACAAAGAGAAGAGGACAGATGACATGGAGGAGGATGAAGAGTGGACGACAGGAGTACAGAGAGGAGGACAGAGACAGAAAGGATGACAGAGGGAGTACTGTATATAAGATAGAGATTGTGGTGTCTGAAATGCTATGTGTAGTCCTCCCCATAAAAGAAATGTATCTTTAGGTTTGAAGTCCACAGGTTTTGAGGAATTTGGAGAAAGCCTGAACGTATGTTAGGGCATTAGGTTACAGTTCTAAGTGCTACACTAAATTTGAGCTAGTGCCTTCTCTTTTTCTGTCACCGAACAAATGAGAAGAGCTGGATGAAAACCAGATGTGTTTTCTTTAGGTTTATGCAAACAACACTCCTATATAAACGAGGAGTTGAAGTTGTCCCCTTAGAAGAGATTCACATTGGCCCCGAATCTCTCTTCAGGCAGCAGAAGAGATTCACATTGGCCCCGAATCTCTCTCCAGGCAGGAGAGATGCACATTGACCCCGGATCTCTCCATATGCAGATTGCATTGCTTGTATTGATGCTGAACTTTTTTGTAATAAACATTTTATACAATTAAGACGGTGTCATCGGAGATTCCTTCATCATCTTCACATCATCGCAACCCCAATATACGACAAGATCAGGACAGAAAGAGGATAGAAGATAGAGATGACAGAGATTATTATGCAATTACATGACACAGAGCAGAATCTGTTTTCTATCACTGTCGTTAGGATATTTTAATTTGTTACAGTTACGTTGGTAACCAACATGTTTACTGTATGTGTTTTGTCTCAATTAAAGCTGATGCTGCAGAGCAATGGCTCCTTCCTGTTTTTGAGAATTCCATTGGTTCATGTTGACCCACTGCAGGCCGAAAGGGGGAGGATGCTGCTTTGTTCTCATTTAAAGGGGCCGTCCACCCAACATCAATTGCATGAAACACAAAATCATCACATAAAGGTTGTTTTAGTGACGTTGGAAAGATGAAACACAAGAGAAAACTTTATCCTACAGTAGCGGCTGGACTCTCTGAATTGACTCTAAATTGAAGTCCACACTTACACTGACACATCACTCCCTCCAAATGAACTTTACCTGAACTCTACCGCCTTGTCCCAGGTTAATGTTGACACTCGGACTATCCATTTGCAGTATCACATGGTCCAAAAGATTAACATCTTTACGGCGGCGGTCCTTGAAAACAGCGAGCAGCTGCACACCCGAATGTGATATCAGAGTGTAAGCACAGCGATCTGGGATGGAGGTAGCATTGCCAAAGAAACTGATGACAGTTGAGCCAGTCACAGTGCAAGTCTGGGGTTCTGGGCACCTAACACTGGGGGGAGGGCATATACTGTATTACCATCAGTATTGGACAAAGTTGACAAAAGTATACAACTGGAAATATAAATGACATTTGTTTACTTGCACATTCCTCCACAGGGGTTAACAGTGACTTCGGAGAAAGTACTACAGGTTACACTGGAGCCATTTGAATGACAAGTCGTGGTGTTAAGCTTATATAGAGCACCTGGTAAAAACAGATTATTGAATTATTAACTTCACTCATAAGAAAATGAAACAGTAACATTATCTCATGTGGCTTTAATAATTAATAATGCCAGCTCTGCTTACCTGACTGTCTGCATGCTCCAATGTTTCTATAGCTTATCATGCGGGGCATCACGTAAACCTGTGAAACACCATCAATCACCTCGATTAAAGTCTGCAGAGGAAAAACACAACAGAGGTTACAGTCAAACACAGATAGGACACAGAAATGAACAAATCGGACATAACTTTTTGGACAAACTCAACTAAAACTATCTCATCTGTGGACAACTAAAACTACATGACTGAAGAGTTCAGTTCAGTTTCATTTTTTTAAAATAAATATGTTTCAGTCATCTAATGTGTCATCTAATAATTTGAAAATATAATTCAGCAGCATTTAAGGAAAAAAATCTGGAAGAAATCCAGCACCTCCTCCCCATGAATAGCACAGATACATTGTCTTGTCCAGAAACCACAGAACCACCTGTAGCACCAGATTTATGTTTGAACCAATTTTCTTCCATTGATCTTCCTGAACTGACCTTATTAGTTTCATCATGTAAACCAACAACTTGTCAATTAGACTCTGTCCCAACTGGACTTTTTAAGGATGTTTTCCCCCTAACTGACAGTTCCATATTAAATCAGATTAACATAACGTCTGTTAACCGGCTACATACCACAAGCTTTTAAGGTAGCTGTTACTAAACCTCTGCTTAAAAAGCCCACTCTTGATCCAGAGGTTTRAGCTAATTATAGACCCATATCAAACCTGCCCTTCATTTCCAAAATCCTYGAAAAAGCTGTTMCTAACCAGCTGTGTGATTACTCAGATAGTAGCGGTTTGTTGGAAAACTTTCAGTCAAGATTTAGAATCCATCACAGCACAGAAACAGCACTGTTAAAAGTCACTAATGACCTTTTCATGGCATCAGATGATGGACTTGTCTCTGTACTAGTCTTGTTGGATCTTAGTGCAGCATTTGACACCATAGATAATGTTAACGTCAACAATGACCCCTCCATGCACAAGCAAGTTAGTCATGGAGTTCCACAAGGTTCTGTCCTTTGACTGATACTCTTCACCTACGCTCCCCTAAGGCAACATCATCAGAAAGCACCACGTACACTTCCCTTGTCACGCAGAGGACACCCAGCTGTTCATATCTATGAAGCCTGATGAATCTAATCACTTAGTTCAACTTCAGGAATGTCTCAAGAACATCAAGGCCTGGATGAGCAAATCACAATATATCACCAGTGCCAGTGATATATTGTGATTTGGTACTATACAAATAAATAATGTACAAAATAATGAATTTAAATTGAATTGTACACTTACCGTGCTTGAACTTTTTCCATTTTGAAAGTAGCCAATAGATTGTTTGCCAAAGTCACGAAAAGCGATCACCTGGAAACATAAAACAAAAAATTCAGATTGTTGGGAAATAAAAAACATATTTAGCTTTGATCATCTGATTAGACAGAAGAGACATTCACATTGGCTAATTCAGAACAATGCTCACCAAGATTGTGGAACTACTATCTCTGAAATAGAAATTAGGGTTGCAGGTTGATGAACCAATGAGATCAGGCACACCTTGATGATAATTTGATCCAGGGTCTTTCCTTGAATGTGTTTCAGCCCAATTTCCTTCAGCAATTGACCCCCGTGGTCCCACCCAACAGTCATTCTCTTTTGTAATGTTGTAACGGCCTTTGAAACAAACTGCCACTTCAGTGCTTGTGAAGTCCACCTGTTTGGTTGAGGGAGAAACCACATGTGAAACAAGTCATGAAGTAAAAATGGTATATTGTACTTGCTAATTCCACAAACATCTGTCACACTCGTGAACTGTGCAGTTAACACAGGGTTAACAGTACAATGTAAGGTGTTGGACAAGAAGAAACTGGTCAGCTCAGCAGTGTAATAGTTAAATTAGAATTAAAAAAAAGCAGTCTAGCTTTGTTAGTCAGACAGTTTTTCTTTATTTTCTCTGTGTGAAACCACCAGCCAGGGGAGTAGGGACTAAGATTAGGAAGAGGGCTTGCTTTTTGTTCATTTTATGAGTTGGTGTCACCCTCTGCCCTTAACCCTTTTTGCGCTGATTTTTTATTCACTGTTTAGTGTTGTTTATGTAAATGATTTAGCACTCTAATAATAAAAGGCTGCGTTGCCAGACACCATCAGCGCTGTGTTGCTTACCTTCCTCCTAGACAAAAACTGGGTTGTAACACAGATAAATCAGGTAAGATGAACACAACTTTTGCTAACTTCATTCTGACCATAGACTGTTTACAAAAAGCTCTGCACACAAACAATTAAAACAATAAAAAAATAAAAAGTAGCAGTCATTCATTTGCAGGAAACATGAAACATTCAAAAGGACAAATCGCCTGGCCAAGAATTACAGGTGCATTTGCTGAAAAGAAAANCAATCTAGAGCAGAAATATAAGAATAGAAACAAGTCAAAACTCAATTAAATGAGATCAACATGATTAAAATTATAACTAAGACAAACTGAACCTGTAAATTGCAGATTCCTGTCAATAGTTATAATAATAACAAACTTTGTTTAGAATGTATTTTTCAAACAACTGCAATTACAAGGTGTTTTTGAGAAAAATTAAAAGATCACAATCTAGAGCAGAAATATAAGAATAGAAACAAGTCAAAACTCAATTAAATGAGATCAACATGATTAAAATTATAACTAAGACAAACTGAACCTGAGTTGTTAGTTTCCTTAGTCAGCCTCATCATGGCACTGATGTTCCCTCAGCCTGCAGAAATTCCCTCCACCAAAGACAGACACTAAATATCGAGGGGAAAGACATCAGACGGTTCTCAACCATCAAGCTTCATCTTACTCACATATGATGTGTTGTAAGTGGTTCCATGAAACTTGATGGGACATCCAGGATGGGAAGCGATCACATTATTTTGAAAAGTTTCCCTGCCTGACATGGAGACATGGTGACAGATATTTAGACAATCAGCATGTTGGAGCACATAAAAAGCTGCAAATACACATGTTATATGTAGCCAGTAGTGAAATGTCCCTACAGAGCTACTGTAGGGATGGGTAGGCCTTAGCACCTCCCACTTCCTGGTCTCTAATTTGGTTGGGGCACAGGAGCTGGTGAGTACAATGTCCCAGTATAACTTTCCCCTCTCACTGTCAGCGTCCACAGCCAAATCACCCTTTAGCACTCCACTTACTATTTGCTAATTTGCCCTGTTAAGTATTTTATATTTAAACATATATGCATATATTTTGACACTTTAGTCGCTTGTGTGGAGTACATTTTCTGTTTGTAATATCATGTTTAAATTGTCAGTAGTTCAATAAATTGTTGTAACCTTGGGAATACCTAGTCTCAGTCCATTTTTTAATGTCATGTGTCATAAAGGATCTGTGGGCCTTTAGTTGGTTTGAGTCAGTATTAAAGGGGTCCATACACTATAAATAGTTAATCAAATCTGGCCCTTGCCCGTAGTCACATTCAGAACAAAGAGCTCTCAGGAGCCCACAGCAGCTGTAGACTCACAGGACAACCAACAGCTTAAATCAAACTCTTCAGCTGGATAATTATCTTCCTGCCTTACTTTATATATAATTGTTTCTTAGTCTGTTCAGATAACATCCTTCAACTCATAGTTTGGGTGGGGTTTCCAAATGGCTGCCATGTGGTAGAGGTGATGTGTGTTCTTACCATATACAGACACTTGGCTGAGTGTAGCCATGTAGACCAGGACGAGGAGCATGCTGGAGGAGAGCAGTCAGCTGACAGAGAGCTGGAGGACACGATCAACACGTCAGAGTTCACCTTTTGGGCTAAATTTGTGTCTCACTGTCTTTATGCAACACTTCGCAATGATCTCCAGAGTTCATTGTTTTTGTGCTTAAGAACATAAAGCCTGTGAAACATTTAGAAAATTACATTTTGTTTTTGTTTCACTGCTTTGTGTTCACTACCAGTGCCCCCTCTATTCATGCAGCCCATCTGTCTCTCAACCACTTTAGCGCTCCCCATTGAGCTAGGGGTGGAACAATCATTAAAAGTGTGTGAACATTTTACTGTAATCCCTAAAAGAAAACCTGTACAGAGCAGATTTCACATGACAAAGCAACATCACTGTTTACGATCCATAAGAAAACCAAGAGAAGAAGAATGGCTCCAACCTGTTTTCTCTCAGGTTCATACCAAAGTGCTTCTGTGTCTTGTGAAATCAGCTTCGTACATGTCTTCATTGAAGGCTTTTATGTAAATTATACTTATTACAACTTGTGTCCGCTGTATTATTTGTCATGTTTGTCTCTGAAAAGGTTCACATTTTATGTTGACATATTGACTTGTATCACATTTCCAAGTTAAATAATGAAGTCTGATTCAATTTTTTCTAAAACACCTAAATATTCCTGAAACTTTTCCCCTTAGCAACACTTGGCGTTAACTTGGACCAAATGTACAGCTGTACTTATTCTAAAGCAATAAAAGTAGTTTTACTTTGTTTGTTGCTGTTTTATTGTCCCATGAAAAGTAGAAATGATCTGATAATTTAATACCAACAACCTCCCTTTATCTTTTCCTTAGTTTGTAATTATTTTGTTTGTTTTCTGCTGTTGTTCAGAGGAGCACCCTCTTGTGTCTCACAGCTACAATACAGAGCTGGCTCTACAACCTGTTTGACATGAGTTATTAAATCAAATCTTGTTGAGGAGCTCAACATTATCATCTCAGTCCGTGAGGTATCACACTACAGTGATGAACCTCCTGTGAACTTCTGGGACTAAAAACTGTTGATCCCCACTGGACACTGTAAGTATACTACTTCCCCAAACATCCAGTAAACAAATAATTACTCTTAACTTGAAATGATCAATTGATTAAAGTAATAGTCAAGGAACACTAATCATTTCAATGATAAGGAGACAAATAATATGAAGAAAACATATCAATTTTCATCTGTTGTCTCTTTGTTAATCCAGCCTTGAGCAGAATAAAAACACTTGTCGGTGATTTGGATCATATTTCCTAGACTCAGAAGAAACACAGTGGATTTACAATTCCTCTTCTTGTCCAGCTTCAGTGCTGCTTTTTGTTTGGAGAGGCAGAATCCCAGCAAAGCTGTGCAGAGATGGGGACACACAAAGATTGGCTGTCTTACCTGATGGAGGTTATCTGGATGACCTGTGAGAAGATGTTCTCTGATGAGCCTCTGTTTCAGATTCCTCTTCTTCAGGTCTCTGAGAGATGTGGTCTTACTCTGCGATGCTCCTCTCTTATAGTCCTTCAGCTCAACTAAACCCAGTGACACCACCATGTTAATCAGAAACAACAATGCAGTGTAACAAGTCATACAAACTTGTGGCTGTTTTGCATATTACTGCTTCTATAGTTGTACTGACTTATATAAGGTGTGTACATTCTTCATGTTATCCAGACTGACACTCACTCAGTAATTCCTTAAAACAGCTCCACTCTCCTGGTATCTCCAGTATTATTTATTATCTTCTTACCGTGAGTTGAATTGCTTGCAGGTCCTGTTGCACAGATGAGGGGGATAAATGTTGAGATCACATGAAGGCTAAATAAAATAAATCAAATAAAAGTGGGTTTTAAGAATCAACCTATACGAGGTGATACATTTTGCCATCCTGATCTCCTCAGGGAGGTTGTTCCAAAGTCTGGGAGCATGTTTTCGAGTATCTGTTAAAATCCTGGCATCCGCATTTTGGATGTGTTGAAGTGAGGAGAGAGATTTTGTGCTGCAGACGGAGAAAAGGGAGTTGCAATAATCTAAACATGTTAATATAAATGCATGAATGACTGTTTCTAGGTTTTTGGCAGAGAGAAAGGGCTTAATTTTAGAATTCTCCCAGAGTTGAAAGAAGGATGACTGATAGATTTGATGTCGCTGTTCAAAGTGAGGTTGTCGTCAAATATAACACCAAGTTTTCTACACTGGGGAGTAATGAGATGTGAGTGAGGACCTTGCATGTTTGTGAGTTCGCTGTGTGAGGAGTTTGTAGCAATCAAAAGTATTTCTGTCTTTTTTGGGTTCAGCTGAAGGAAATTATGTGCCATCCAGTTTTTTGAATATCTGTGAAACAGTTTAGAAGTGGAGAGATTTCATTGAAGTTATTGGGGTTAAAACTGAAGTAGACTTAAGTGACATCTGCATAAAAATGAAAAATGATGTTAGGGAACTTATGAGGTGGCCAAATGGTAACATGTAGATAATGAACAGAATCGGGCCGAGCACCAAGCCCTGAGGAACCCAACCATGCAGCCTAGAGGAGTAGGACCTAGCTTCCCCAATGCTGACACAGAAGGTCCTGTCTCTGTAAACGGGACAAGAGGATGGTGTGATCGACTGAATCCAGTGCCGCACTAAGATCCAGGAGTATTAAAATGGAGGGGCGTCCAGCGTCAGCAGCTTAAAAGACATTTCTGAGTGACACCACCCTCAATCAACCTATACGAGGTGATACATTTCGCCATCCTGATCTCCTCAGGGAGGTTGTTCCAAAGTCTGGGAGCATGAATGGCAAATGCTCTGTCACTTTTATCCATAAGCCAGGACTTTGGAACAACCAGGTGGGCAGCATTTGAGGATCTCAGGGCTTGTGATGATATATATATTGTTAAAAGGTCAGTTATGTAGCTTGGCTTTAAAAGTGATAAGTACAATTTTAAAATCTACTCTAAATCTAACAGGGGGCCAGTGCAAAGATGCAAGAATGGGTGTGATATATTCATGTTTTCGAGTATCTGTTAAAATCCTTGCAGGATATTGCTGCTTTTATAGTTGTACTGACTTATTTAAGGTGTGTACATTCTTCATGTTATTCAGACTGACACCCACTCAGGAGGGGCGTCCAGCGTCAGCAGCTAAAAGGACATTTCTGAGTGACACCACCCCCATGTCAATCAGAAACAACAATGCAGTGTAACAAGTCATACAAACTTGTGGCTGTTTTGCATATTACTGCTTCTATAGTTGTACTGACTTATATAAGGTGTGTACATTCTTCATGTTATCCAGACTGACACCCACTCAGGAGGGCGTTCAGCTTCAGCTGCTAAAAGCAAGTCGTTCAATATTTTCAGGAGTGCAGTTTCGGTGCTGTGGTGGGCCCTAAAACCAGACTGAAGGGATTCAAACAATGAGTTTTCTGATATAAAAGCTAAAAGTTGATTTGCAACGATCTTCCCAAGGAAAAGAAAGTGATGGGTCTAAAGTTCTTAAAAATCTATTAGAACCAGGTGATAAGAGAATACTAAAACATAAGTTACACGGGGTTAGCCCGTGCCCTTTAAGAGTAAGATACACACCCGTACCCAGCAGGCAGGGCCAGATTTACACTTCGCTGTACCCTGGGCAACAATATTCAAGGGCCCCATGATCACGACCCCGGGATCACCATAATCTGGCAAAATACTGAATAAATTACAGTAATATGCAGTAAATATACTCAATACTTCGGTAACTAACTGTCATCAAGTGCATTTTGATGTACAGATGTGCAAATGCTCATAGAACTACAAATGCACCACTATGTCCTCTTGTCAAGGCCACTCACTCACATATGATGTTATGAAAACAAAACACATCAGCATCAGTATAATCTGGCAAAATTGACCCACTACATAGAGAGGAAAGGAAGTGTCCTCCATTTTCACAAAAAAATAAATAAGCAACCACTTTCAAAGTATCAAATATTTATTTAACAACACCTATTCACAACACAAATGTATTAAACTGATAGAACCATCACAGAGGAAGTCCACAAACAAGACAAGGACAATGAAGTTATAGTGCAATATAAACATTAACATAAACAGAAATGTGCCTGTATTCTCTCAACAACAATAAATAATTTACAGCATTTTCATGGAGCCACCACAGGGAAAAATTAAATAAAATGCAGTATCATCTGTATAATTTTAACTCGTTTTAAAACAGAAAACAACCTGTCACATCACAACTCAACAAGACAGGCAAGGGTTAAACATTTTAGTGCAAGTTAAACATTTGGAAATCTTTCAATTTCTCTCAATTAGACAAGACAAAAAGAAATGCTACATTATCTGGCAAAATTCACAATTTTAATCCTAAATAATGGGGAAGTGCATGTTTAAATTGTAAATGCTTGATTTCATTTGGCAAACACATCTTACACCGGCATTTTTCTGGACTTGAATGTGCAAACTGGTGTACAATATCTTCGAAATCAAGGGCACCAACAAGTTCATGTTCGATGGCCAAGAGAGAAAGTGCAGAGAGCCATGTCTGTGACATTGTGGTCCTCAGCTCATTTTTAACTCGTTTCAAAACAGAAAACGACCTCTCACGCTCACAGTTAGACACAGGCAAGGTTAAAAACAGTCTTAGTGCAACATTAACATTTAGAAACGTTGTCTTAAATCCATGTCTCTCAAGAGCTTGCAGCAGCTGTACAGGTGAAGTCTCATTCTTCAGGTGAAGTGCTTGAACTGAATAAGTTCGTCTGACAAGGAACCATCCAGATCTGTCGGATAAGTGGAGCACAGCTTAGCAGCTCTTTCACGCACATCACAATCATTGCAGTCCCTCTCAAATAAAACTCCAAAGAGGTCATACACGTGTGTAGGCTTCAATGCGCTTGGATAGGCACGAACAAAGTCTGTCAATGATGACATAATATGTTTCAACCTTAAATCTCTGACTACTATCGGTAAAAGCTACTTCACTGTCATCACCAGACTAGTCTGCAAATTTCTTTCTTTTTCTCACACGTCGAGTGTCAAACTGGTAGTTTTGTGTGGCACTAACAGTGCGTGCAGATTCTTCGAGCTCTGCAAACTGTTCTCGTAGAGTGCCAACATATGAATGTAGTGACCGCAAAAGGCCAAGAGCAGTAGCTAAATCTATATTGCTTCTTTGGAGTTGGTCACTTGTTGCCTTAAATCTATGCAGCACCCGGTTCCACAACATAGTCATTATTACTGTCTCATGTTCATCAAGTTTTGTTACCAATGCAGCAGCTTCGAGTTTGGTTTGTGTTTTCTCATCACAGTCTGAGGCTATTTTGGCTAATGTATCTCTGATTGCCCTGTAATTCTCATTGAGAGCTTTTGTGGAGTCTGCTCTGCAACTCCATCGAGTGCTGCTGAGGGATTTTAGAGTGTATCTAACATAATGTTTGCTGTTATGGAAAACTGTATTCCAGCGATGTGTTGATGTGCTGCAAAATGTATACAGGGACTGCAACAGTTCAAAAAAGGAGTTAACCTTTTTTTAATGGTGGTGGAGACAGTGGCATGGCTCGGGATGATGGTGTACAATGTCCGGGTGCAGGCCCTGCCACCACCCCAACCGCTGCTGTGATTGGCAGTGCACTGGATGGTAACATGGACCATCCTGATGGGGCACAAGGCACAGGCCCCTTCGGGGTCTCCTCAAGCGCCACCGCAGAGGCATCCACCACAGCGGTATCCACCACAGCGGTCCATGAACCCAACATTTGACCCTGACTTCTCTAGCACACCACGGCAGCAGCAAGGAGCGCACGCTGTGCTACCAGACAGTTTTGGTGCAGGACGGAGCCTATCTACCACCTCGCAGGGATTAATTGGGCCCAGYATTGCGCTTGCACCGCTAAGCTTACCAAAGTTCTCTGGAGACAGGAGAAGCTATTGGCGATGGAAGAAWAACTGGGGGACCCTTCAAGCATTAGCAGAGCCCACGGGCTCCCCAGAGTGTAGGCTCTTCCACCTGCTGGACAGTATCGCTGATGCAGTAAAACGTGAACTCAGACTGTCTCATTGCCGTACTGCGGAGGAGGTCTTCCGGGTTTTGGAGGACTGTTATGGGGACATGTCGCAAATAGCAGACGACATCGTACTGGAGCTACAGGATGTACCAGCTGTCCGCAACAACCAACCAAGAGAGACTTTGCAATTGATCCAAGCGGTGGAAAGGGCCCTGTTGGACCTTATAGACTTGGGTTGTGAGGACGCCATAAAAAACCAGTTGGTGATCCGGTCACTTGAATGTAAGCTGCCGGACAGCATGAAGGAAAGGTGGCTCTTGTACCGGTGTGATGCGGCCAGCAACGTCAACCCACGTAACCGGTTCGACAAACTATGGAAGTTCCTGAGAGATCAGAAGACGGTTCTGGTGCAACTGGAGCAGTTACAGATCACGAGACGACGAGCTCTGCCAGAGCAAGTGAACCAAGCCCTCGTGAAAASCCTAAGGAAAGACTGGGGGTCCA